TGTGAGGAACATATCACATACATAACAATGTTCATATCATCCTAATATAAGTATCATCATGTCAAAGTTACCTTAAAATATCAATATAAATTCAATATTTTTCAGAACATGTATCTGGATAATATCTACATATTTTCATAAGCATATTCCTTTTTTGTATATATAAATTCTCTAATATGTGGAATATCAATTTTTATCAGACAGATTGATGTTACTTTAAACCAGTGATGAAAGATCGAGCCCGCTGCAACGAGAATATCGAAGCGATGGGAGTACACACACAAGCGAGAACTGCCGTCCGTGAGCGCTCACGGTTTAGTAAGCGCTTTACACTTATTGTCTGTGATTGGTCTCTTCTTGTAAATCCGCTCGAAATATGAAAATATATGCCAATGACAAGCAACAAGCGCAAAGCGCTGAGTTCTGCTGAACGCGGCCAATCTAACTTAACCTAATCTAACTCTCAGTAGAAAATTCATATTTGTTACAGAGCTAAAATATTGTGGGAATGATCTGTGTTTGTTTCAAGTTCACGAACTATTATTAACAAACTACATACTATAAACTGCTTTGAAAAAATTTAGATTTCATAAAAAAGGTGAATGACTTTAATTTTTTCTACATCAAAAACTCAATTTGTTTTTATTCCAAATTTTATGGTTATGATTAAAAAATTAATAGAGAGATTCTCAAAGTTCTCATTCTTAATAATGTAAAAATCGTACAAAACTTCACTACTGATTTAATGTCTATAAGAAAATTTTTGAAAAATATTGTGTTCTCATAAAAAAAACATAAAAAAATCTTTTTTTAGAACGTGATTAAATATTTTTTTTATACCTTTGTTATAACAATACTTTATTATTTCTAAACTTTTGATGTAATATCTTCAAAATACAATTATTATATACTATTAGCAATTGATTAGTTTATATTGAAGAGATACTAGTAGTCCGACTTCAGTCAATTTTCAATTTTTTTTCTGTCAAATTATTCAACAATGTTTTCATATAATTAAACTATTTTTCTGTATAAGCCTAATTTAATATATTGAGAAAGTCTGCACTGAGACATATTTTAATTATATCAAATCGTTGTTGAATAATCTTACAGAAAAAAACTGGCTCATATAAATTAAATGTAATTTATTTTTGGTTAGATGGCTTCTTTCTCAAGAAATCAATAATCGATGCACAGAAACAGATGCAATATCTTTCCAATTACCCTACGCAGTTGTGAGGTTGTTGATGAAGTAGCAAATGGTAATGAAGTAGTTTCAGAGGTGCCAAGTATTTGGATCAGCTCTGATAGGACACAATGTTGGTGGCCAATAAGTAAACAAATTCATCCTTTGATGGTTACACAAGCAGTTCCAAAAACTAATGATCCTAAGTGGAATTTATACAAAGTGATTTTTGAGAAATACTATGGTAAGATTATCAAATTCTTTTTAGTTTTACATTATTCTTAATATTTTATATTAAATCTGTATTTAAAATACATATCTATATTTATCTATATTTGGCACACTTTAAATCTTCAATCAAAATAAAAAAAAGTAGTTTTTGACATGTTAAGAAAAACTGTAAATGACAACCAGTAATTAACACAAAATATACATATGTTAAATACGAGGGTAGTCCCAGAAGTACCCGACCTGACGTATAGATGGCGGTTGTTGTTTGAAAAAAATCACTATGACCGAAAGAATCAACCTTATAAAGCTTAAGTTTCAAGTTTCAACATGCTACGTTGTTTAGTATTAGTTCGGCAGCCATCAATAGTGAACGCTCTCAGTACATTTGTAAACATGGAGAAAATTGGTCTCAGGTGTGAAATGATGAACACATGTTTCATCTATGGTTATGAATCGACGCAAAAACTCTGCCTTATTACTGCGAAACACCGCCAAACACTCGATTGAAACATCCTCACGACGCTGGTTTTGTTCAATTGTGAGCAAACGCGGCACCCATCGTGCGCACAGCTTTTTCACGTTCAAATTTTTAGTCAATATGCGTTCACTATTGATGGNTGCCGAATTAATACTAAACAACGTAGCATGTTGAAACTTGAAACTTAAGCTTTATAAGGTTGATGCTTTCGGTCATAGTGATTTTTTTCAAACAACAACCGCNATCTATACGTCAGGTCGGGTACTTCTGGGACTACCCTCGTATATATAAAATATATCAAACGCATCATTATTTTTCTATACAAAAAATTCTTATGATACATACCGTATGGATCTTTTAAATCGGAATATAGAGCATAGCGTCTCTCTTCTCATATGCAACGCGTGAGAATAAGGGAGATAACTATTGCATATGTTCAGATCTAAGAGATCCATAGTGTATGATTCATTATATAATTCCAATTAATATTTAATCAACTTTTTGAATTCAAAATTGATATTTCATAAAAACTTGTATTTAAAATTATCTTTAAAAATGTACTTTGCATTTTCAGATACATTGGAAAAAGCCAGAAAAAGAGCATTAGAAATGAACGAATCAACAGATTATAGTTCAAATCCTGAGAATTCAAAACAAAAGGACGTGGTCAGCGCAACAAAACAAAAAATCCAAAATATGTAGATGGTTATGAAAGTGAAAGCAAAGAAGACAGAAATCAAAATCAGAATAAAACAAAAAATGCAAGCAAAAACAGAGATGCTATGTACAAAAATAGTAATAAAAACAGAAACCAAAGTACAAATGTTGACGGACATAATTCTTCTAGTGAAGATGATGAGAATGAAGATAATAATATACCTCTACCACCTACACTTACACTAGAAAAAAATCAAAATAAACAAGTTATATATGATACAGATATAATTAACATTATGGATAATCATGAAATTCAAGATAAATTCACATAATTATTACAATCATCATTACTGTGTAGTGTTGTTTTCTTCAAAGTAATTTGATATTATAATGTACTTTATCTTATTTTATACTAAATGTCTTATTGTTTTGTATTTGTCTTGTACTATTTACTTTATTTCTTATATTTTACCATCTGCTCATACTATTTAGTTTCTATTTTTTCTTATATTAGCATCTTGATTATATATCATCTATTATCTATATACATCTCATCGTTTTGTAATTTTTTCTTTCTTGATATTTTTTTTATACATTTTTTTCATTTTTTGGAGAAGTAGTATTTCAACAATCATTGTAAATTTGCAGTGGAAGGAAATATTTTGAATTTTAACCCAGAAATTGCAACAACTGTAGGTGAGTAAATCTGAAGTAAAAATCATTTAACCATGTGAAATACAAATAAAGAAGCTATTATATCCCATAAAACTTTTATTAATAGATTTATTAACAAAATTTTGATCGTAATCTATTCTTTTCTAGATGATTTGAAAAACATCCTGGAAGATAAAGGTTCATCATAAATTAAGGAGATTCTAAAGTGATTCTGCCTTAGCGACTGAATTAAGGCTGCACAACGTTTTACATTAAATAAATATTACTACAAAAAGCCGTAAATTTAATCGATAAAACTGAATCACTTTATGACCTCCTTAAACTTCAGAAAAATAATAAAATGTTTCAACATCATAAGATATGTTGATCTCTTTACAGAAAAAGTTTCCATTATCATTAGAGCCATAGCAAAACTTCAAGTAACTATGCGTGTTATTGAAGAATATCTTCAAAATCTGAGTACTACTCACATTAACAAACATCAATCAACTCGCGTTGATGAAATCCAATGACGTATACCTCTTCAAAAAACCGAGGAAATTACTACATTTGATAAAAAACTGAAAGAGGAGCAAAACTTGTGTTCTAGCTTTGTTAGTACTTGAAAACATTTGAAAATTAATTTCTCTCTTTAACATATAAATTGCATGATAATGAATGACTAATAAAACTTTTTTTCCAGGTTACTTTTTTACGAGATATTGGAGGCAATGGCCCAAAAGAACACACTCAGCGTTGTTTGCGAAAAGTTTTTAGCAATAATGTTGCAAAACAATGCTCGTGGTTTGGATTCAGAAACAATTACAAAATTTGTGATCTGAAAATCATACAGTGTATAAATGGTGATTGTTAAATTTTTCTCTTTATGCATGCAAATATATCGAGACACTTATATGCTTATAAATTTATAATCATAAATACATTATAACAGATGTAGTTAAAGACAAGTATTGCAATAATACTGCAAAAGAGTTCGAAAATACTGTCAGCGAATGGTTCCGACAAGGCAGTCAGCGACATGCTAGAGAAATTGAACAAGCTAAAAAAAGCAGCAAGATGTTACGAAATAAAGTGCAACAACATATACTTTTTCTAAGTTAAGTGGAAAATTGTTCTCAATTTTTTCCGCTTTTTATGTGTTTTTAATTTTTTTAATTCATATTTTTTCTATTAATTATTATAGTTTGAATGTGATATTAATTTTACTTTNATTTAGATTTTCTATGAACTATCATAAGTAAAATTGTGATAATTTTACTTTGATTTACTTTTCTAAATAATATAAATTTTATTTATCTAGTATTTCCAAAGATAAATTCGTCTGTTGATTGTTTTTGACCGTTTAATAATGTACTCTGAAGTATAAGGTAGGATCAAGCCAGATCTCACAAACAAAGATGTTTATTTGTTAAAGGTATGAATATATGAAAGTTATTTTATATATTCTTCCTGTATATTCTAAAGTTTCTATATGTATATTTTTCTACAGTTCGTATATTAGATATATAAATAAGTCTACACATTTGTTATATTATCCAAACATAAAGATTTATTATCATAATAAATATATCATTTATTATCACAATAAATATACTTTATTTTATTTTTATGTCTGTCTATATAAATATAAACCCATTATTACATATTATTCGAAATGTACCTAGTAAACACACAGTATCCACCCGGTAAAAAATTTTTCGTATAAAAGATTTACGTAACACTATGGAACTACGTTTACATTTCTGTCTACTACATTTCTGTCATAGGTACATAATACATATGCATTGCAACACCAGTAAACACAACGTAACAGTACCGTAACATTAATGTTATTATTTCTCACTCAACAATGTAACTGCAATATAACATGCCTTGTACGTAGCAGTTACATTGTTGAATGGGAAATAATACCATTAATGTTACGTTACTTGTTACTGCCCGCTAAACAATTTTTCATATATAATTATATATATACTTATACACAAATTAACATTATTATATTTAATTATGCAAATTTATATGTCGAATATGTCCATACAATTTTATACACGGAGAATTTCTTTTTTTAAAAGAATGGCTTCAGAGATATTTCAGACCAAATTGCAAATTAACTTTATTAGTATCATGTTAGATACAAAAAAATGATAGAAATTTCTATGACCAAATTGCAAATTAACTTTATTAGTATCATGTTAGATACAAAAAAATTATAGAAATTTCTACAAACATGATACTAATAAAGTTAATTTGCAAATTGGTCTGAAATATCTCTGAAGCCATTTTTTTAAAAAAAGAAATTCTTCGTGTATAAAATTGTATGGACATATTTGACATATAAATTTGCATAATTAGATATAATAAGTTTAATTTGTGTATATATGATTATATATCAAAAATTTTTTTAAATATAGTAAAAATATAGTTTTATATAATTTGTTTGTATCTAACATGATACTAATAAAGTTATTGTCTAATTTGATATGGAATATCTCTGAAGCCATTCTCTTAAAAAAAAAATTCTCCGTGTATAAAATTGTATGGACATATTCGGCATATAAATTTGCATAATTAGATATAATTATTTTAATTTGTGTAAAAGTATATAAT